TCAATAAAGATACCCAGAGTTGCACATGTCTGAATCCAACTTATTTTTATTATTTTGCAACGCAAATTAGTGCCAGGGAAGACTCTTCCTGGCACTAAGATGCACCATACATTAAATATTGTTGTCGTTCAGAAGAGGTATTCCAGAAAATTATTAAATGTTATTTAAAAGAATAACAAATCTTGCTATTTTTAACACATTAAATGGTCAGTCTGGACCGACACCTTTTTCAGTTTCACTCTTTCCTTCGTCCAATTTTATTGGTAAACTTTTCTGAGCTCTTGATCCTCCGCCACTGAGATTTTTTGAAGCTATTTGAAGCCATTCCAAGATACTGGCAATTAATTTAAGAACTTTGGTCGTAGGACACATAAACATTCCAATTATTCCTGCAATTTAGGCCTCCGTTACCGGGAACATAGTTGAAAATTTGAAGCATTGGAACGATTCGTTCTTCTCGAATTCTCAGCGAAATTAATTCGAAAAACTGTTACAAGAAAACAATTTCCTGCAATAAAGTACTCAGCGAAAACAGGAGAGGCGGGGTTCTAGTGGAACCATCCCCTAGGCTAAGGTCTCGTCCAAAGGTTTTACAAGTTTTGAAGATATTCTTTGGTATCCAAGACCCAATAGACCTACTAAGGCAAGTTGAAGGTTCCTACTAGGGCTCGCGCCTCCTCCTGGCTTCGCCTCACCTGACTACAGTAAATAAGCCACGTCTACGGCTCTGTGCTGTACATTCCACAAGATTGATGACTAAACACATCGACTCCAGGCTGAGGGACCTGATTACCTCAAACTGATGAAGCACTGTGTGGCGAAACGTTTTCCTCAATAATGATTCCCATATGTTTCATAAGTTCTCAATCTTCACCTGTCGGTTTTTTCAACCAATTATCATAACAACATAGTTGTGGATAGTGGGGTCAAACTCCGAGTACCGTAAAGAACTATACGTTGTGTAGTTGGTTGGGGTTAAAATTCGTTGGATAAATGAATGAGTGAGTGTCGGATGGGGTGTTGAGTTTGACCTGACTAGCTTTGCTACTAGTTTTTCAGATTACCTGACTAGGTAAGGCATTGCCTTAACCCGATTTGGGAGAAATGACCCTGCCCTCGCATGGTCCAGTATCCTGCTGCATGCTCAGTCTTTCTTTGATTGTTACCCTTTGATACAGTCTTTGATGTAACCCTTTGATACAGGTCTTTTGATGTTACCCTTTGAAATTACAGGCTTTGATGTTCCCTTTGAATACAGGTCTTTGATGTTACCCTTGATACAGGACTTTGATGTAATCCCCTTTGATACAGGTCCTTTGATGTTTGACCTCTTTGATACAGGACTTTTGATGTTACCCATTGATACAGGACTTTGATGTTACCCTTTGATACAGGTCTTTGATGTTACCCTTTGATACAGGACTTTGATGTTAATACCCGTTGGATTACAGGTCTTTGATGTTTACCCTTTGATACAGCTTTGATGTTACCCTTTGATACAGGTCTTTGATGTTACCCTTTGATACAGGTCTTTGATGTTACCCTTTGATACAGGTCTTTGATGTTACCCTTTGATACAGGTCTTTGATATTGGTTTTTGATGTTACCCCTTTGGGGGGGGGGGGGGGGGGTTTGCCATTTAAATGTACCCTTGATGATACCCATTGTAATGGCATTTAAGGTTAACTCCTTTGATGTTATACCCTTTGGATGTTACCTCTTTGATTGTACCCTTTGACATGTTACATTTGAATTACCCTTTGATGTTACCCTTTGATGTTACCCTTTGATGTTACATTTTGATGTTACCCTTTGATGTTACCCTTTGATGTTACCCTTTGATGTTACATTTTGATGTTACCCTTTGATGTTACCCTTTGATGTTACCCTTGATGTTTACATTTGATGTAAACCCTTTGATGTTACCTTATGATGTAAACCCTTTGATTTACATTTTGATGTTACCCTTTGATGTACCCCTTTGATGTAAACCCTTTGATGAGGAAACATGACAGAACACTCGGGTGATGCGTTACTGTGTACAGTGTACTCTGATGTAAACCAACACTGTACACCGTTTGATGAACAACACCGATACAGTGTTGTTTGCTTAAAACATTGTGTACACCTCTTAGTGAAGACTCACACTGTGTACACCTCTTAGTGAAGACTCACACTGTGTACACCTCTTAGTGAAGACTCACACTGTGTACACCTCTTAGTTAAGACTCACCACTGTTACAACCCTTATGAAGACTCACACTGTGTACACCTCTTAGTGAAGACTCACCTGGGTACAAACCCCTTATTGAAGCCTCACACTAGTGTACATCTCTTAGTGAAGACTCACAACTGTGATACAACCTCATAGTGAAGACTCACACTGTGTAACATCTCTTAGTGAAGACTTCCACACTGTGGATACACCCCTTAGTGAATGACTCACACTGTGTACAACCTCTTAGTGAGACCTCTACATGCAGTAAAAGTAAACCTCTCTTACAGATTGAAGACCTCACAACTGCGAGTGGCTACACCTCTTAGTGAAGCTCACACCTGTGACACATCTTCAGTGAAAGACTTCACACTGTGTACACCCCTCTGATCCAGAGAATATCACACTGTGTAGCACTCTTCTCTCAAGTACGTAATACCACACTGTTTACACCTCGAGCAGTGGACAGACTCAGTGTGATAATCTCTTACTGACCCTCACACTGGTCGATACCAACCTCTTAGTTGCGAAGAATCACCACTGGTGCTACACCTCTAGTGAAAGTCTCTCACTGTGTGTAGACATCTCTTAGTGAATACTCACACTGTGTACATCTCTCACGTGAACGAGACTTCACACTACTGTTACTCACCTCTTTAGTGAAGACTCACACTGTGTACACCTCTTAGTCTGAAGACCTCACACTCAGTGTAACATCTCTCTTAGTCTGAAGACTCTCACACTGTGGAACATCTCTCTTAGTGACTGACTCTGAACACTGTAGGTAGCTCAATCCTCCTGGTAGTGAAAAAAACACATCTCACCCTGTGTAACATCTCTAGTGAAGACTCACAGTGGTGTAGCCTCCTTAGTGAAGACTCACACTGTGTACCATCTCTTAGTGAAGACTCACAGTGTGTAAACACACCTCTTAGTGTAGAACACACAATTTCTGTGGTACATCTCTTCATGAAGGACTCACACGCGTTCTACCATCCCTTAGTGAGAACACACCATCATTGGTGATCACCATCTTAGTGAATGACTCACACTGTGTATCACCACTTAGTGAAGACTCACAGAACACTGTGTACACCTCTTAGGGGGCGTGAAGACTTACACTGCGTGTAACACCTCTTTAGTGAAGACTCACAACTGTGTACACCTCTTAGTGAAGTTCCACTACTGTCTTACCACATCTTAGTTGACGAACCCACACCTTGTTTGTACACCTCCTCTAGTTTAGAGCGTCAACAGACCACTACTGTGCTACACACTCCTAGTGAAGACTCACCACGTGATACACCTTCTTAGTGAAGTCTCAACTGAATTAACACATTCTTAGTGAAGACTCGTCACCCTGTTGTACACCATTCTTAGTGGAAGACTCAATCACAGTTATTCTCTCCTCCATAGTGAAGACACATCAACATGCTGTGTTACCTCTATTTACGTGAAGACTCACACTGTGTTCTACCCACCTCTAGATGAAGACTCACACCTGCAATTACACACTCTTACGTGAAAACACTCACAGTGTGGTACACATCTTCTAGTTGAAGACTCACACTGTGTACACCATCTTATGAAGCGACTCACACTGTGTACAAACGCTCACTAGTGAAGACCACCCCCTCACACATAGTGTACACACTCTTAGGACAGACTTCACAGCTATGTCAACACATCCTTAGTGAAGAACACCACATGTGGTACCACCTTTTAGATGAAGACTCACAACTTTGTACACCTGATACGTGAAGCTACACAACTGTGTACCTAACCTCTTAGATGAAGACTCACACTGTCGTACACTCACACTTAGTGAAGTCTCACACTGTGTACTTCTCTTAGAGTGAAGAACTCACACTGCATGGCTACCACACTGCCATTACAGTGGAAACGCTCCACACAGTGTAGCCACCTCTTAGTGCACTGCGACACACTTTATCTCAAACAATAAATGGAACGAAGGGTTTTTTTTTTTTCCTCATTAGCTAGCACGTGTTGCGCAGGATTTTATTTTAGATCTTGTGCACACCACTGAACACACATAGACCGCCATTGCTTTTACATATGAAAGGGAGCCTATGCCAGGCCTTATCTCCTCCACTAGATTTTGGAGTTACCGGTAGAATGTTATTAGGAGAACTAGTTACGATGAAGTCCATAAGAAAAACCCGCCCTAACGCGTGAAGGATACGTACCTATACTACGAAAACCCTTTCAAGATAGGTTTCAATTGATTAAGGTAATCAATAGTGCGGGGCAGCATAGATGATTAAGGAAAGTCAATGCTCACGTTGTTTGTCTGACAACCACCCACAGACCAACAGACCATCTCTAAGAAATGTGAAGGCAGAGGTGCGATGCCCAACACGATCCCTGAAAGAACTTCAAAACACAAAAATTGCACTGAGATAGCATTATTCCAAGCCAAATACGTAAAATCCACAACATCAAAAGACTTGGTGATTCATAGAGCAAGACTAAATAGGATACTTGCTTGAGGTGGTGTTAAAGTTTATAAGATACTAAGAAAAGCTCATACCACCAGCAATCAAAAAGGGAAACCTGTGCACACCACATCACATGTTTGGGATAACAGGGTCTACCATACACATGAATTGTTGTTTATTTAACTCTTTCAGGAGGTCGCAGGACGCCCCGAAAATCTGAAACCGTTGTTTCAACAATGGACTACAAAGGAATTAAAAAAAAAAAAAAAAAATCGTTATTTTTTCTATATAGAATATTGTAAGAGAAAATTTTTCTAAAAGCGTGAATGGAAACAAATAAAAGTTTGCAAATAAACATCGATAATAAAAGTTGAAGCGTAAAAAAAAAGACGCAAATTTAGGTACCGCAACATTTTGGCAGTCTAGCAAAGGGTAATACACACAAATTGTGAGTTATTTAGGTGAGCCCCATATTGAGGCGTCCTATAATTTAGTCGCACATTTAGTTGTGTATTTCGGAACCTTCACCGCCACACGACCAAATAATAGTAGCTAATTTACAAACGTTATGCTGTTGAATTGGGGGGGAAGAGAGAGCCTACCCCCAGTAACACAAAATTGAGCACAAAGATGATACTGGAGCCAAAATACCAAGCTATTTCAAAAGCTAACAAACCAAAATCAACATGCAAGTAAAGTTTCAGAAATTGAGACAATTTTGGCGCCCAATTGATCACACAAAATAGTTCAAAATAAAGTCACTAAATACAAAAATAGGGATCAATAATAAACAAAAGGCAATGCTTTCTTTCGGTGACTGAAAATAATAGAAATTGCGTTAGTAAACTACGAGATTACTATCTGCTAAAGAGAACTAGTTATAATTGACCGTCGCCCCAGAGCTATTAATTACATTAAGTGTCTATTACGGATGAAAAGTTTTGAACTAACAACAGCCGGCTGCGAAAGGAGAGTAAATAATAAAGACCTGTAATTACAGAAATAACCCCCCGAAAGGCTGCCATGCCCATGAAGTTACTTGCCGTTACCTGAAAAAGGAAAAAACTTGTTCATGCCCCACCTCTTATGGAGGGAGAGCTCTCGCTTCAAGGATCCTTGAGATGGGGCCTGCTGGTGCCAAGTTCTTAGGGTGAGTAGTTCTCTCATTTATTGTTGCTAAGATAATAATATTTAATTCTAACTACAGTGGTATCCCGAGTTTTGAACTTATTTCTATTCCAGAATACTGTTTGAGTGCCAATACCGAACGAATTTGTTCCCATAAGGAATAATGTAAATTAGATTAGTCCATTCAGACCCCCAAAAATACACTTACAAATGCACTTACACAAATACACTTATATAATTGTTCAATTCGAAACTCGGGGTACCACTGTAGTTATAAATGGATTTTATCATTGTTTTTTATTATTTTTTGTTAATACATCGGCCATTTCCCACCAAGGCAGGGGTGGGAAGTGGCTGATGTGTTATCTCCTTTCCTACTTTAATTTGGCATGGAGACATTTGCTTGTTAAATGAAAAATGCATTGAGGGAAAGGAGAGGGAGGCCTGGTAAAGAACTAGGTTGTGGGGGGCATTGACCCCTAGAACACCCTCCAGGTAGACCCTCCAGGTAACTGTGTGGAAGATGTTTCAAATTGCTCTTGTCATTTTACATTACTTTCATGCTTATTAGTATCACAGAACAATTAGTACTATGACATCCCAGCACATTAATCTACAACAGTCTCACTTGTTTCGTAAACTAGGAATAACTACTCTTTGGTTATTTGACATTGACAATCTATCATTCATTTACTTAATCTAACTAGTCTATCTCACATTCCTGTACTTTGTCTTTTTTCGTACAATATTTATTCACCAAGAATTCTTCCTCCATAAGCTGTGCATGTCGTAACAAGTGACTGAAATGCCACGAGCAAGGGACTAGTAACCCCTTCTGTATAAATTACTAAATTTAAAAAGGAAAAAACTTCTGTTTTTTTCTTTTTAGGTCACCTTGCCTCAGTGGGATACGGCCCCGGTTTTGTTGAAAACAAAAATAATTATACACTGTATAAGCAGATCTCTTGTTCTCATAGTCACTGAGTTTTTACATTTTTCCAGTGTTTCTTTCTCTCTTTTTTACCTTCCATTTCATTAGATATACTTTTTTTACATCTGCATCTTCATGCATTTTCTCAAAATTTCCTGCAAATGTTCTTAGTCTGAAAAATCAGATATATGCACTGTATCTTTCCATATTATAACCATTTCTAACCCATTCATTTATCTAAACCTGAGGGGTTCTTAACCTATTTTGGGTGGTAACCCTTTCACAATTTGTCTTTATTTCCATGCCCCTCCTCTGTATTATTTTTAATTTTTCAAAAGAGTCTGTTTAAGGAGCAAATTACAAATATATGTATATATATATCAATTATGAAAGCATTATTTTCATTCACTTCCTATATCCTTTTCAAACAGCCCGGTGATTATTGAAGTGCCGCACTTTGCTTCTTTGCGAGGCAAAGAGCGTGAGATAGTGATCCTTCGCTCAGATAATGGAGAAACCTGGCGAGAACATACACTTGAGGCAACAGAGGAAGCTGTTCAAGAGGTTCTTAAACGAGAGCTTTGATGGAGAGGGTATGTTTTACTCCAGTATGCTTAATGAACAAGAGAATTTTGAAAGTACATACTTAATCTACTACCTATTAGCTGAGTAAACATAGATAAAATGTATTAATTAATGACTGCTAAGATAATCTGAATGAGATGTAAATTATTTTATTAATTTAGTAAGGGATTCTCATTTCTTATTAGGTGTGGTTATCTGTATTGTGCGTCATCTCTAGTAGAAATTTACTTGCTGGAAATAATTTTATAAACTATGAATGAGGTAATATACTAATTATTTCTATTGACAGAGTTGAAACAACTGGAGGACTTGAATACCAACCGCATCACACGCATTTTGACCACCGACTTCCCACAGTACTTTGCAATTGTTACACGCATCAGGCAGGAGGTTAGTAAATGGAGTTTTTTATAAGACAAGTTCATTGAATGTCATGGGTTGATATACTTACAAGCTGTAAAAGCTACTTCTATCTTATTAACAACAAAACTGAATATTTTCTGCAATAATAATAACAATCCTTATTTTTTCAAAGTGATTGATGCATCTGCAATAGACTTGGTTGACATTATTGGCATACATCTTAGAAAGCCCCTAGCTGTATGGAGCATTTTGGGCAGCCTAAATTTAACTCTTGTCCCTCATGATGCAACCCACAACAGTCAGTTAACACTCAGGTACCTACTTAATGCTAGGCAAAGAGGGGAAGCAGGTGTAAGAAAAACATGACCATTATTTCACTTGTGCCAAGGATCAATTCCAGTCTCAGTGTGTGAGCTGAGGATTTTTACCAACCAAGCCAAGGTGCCTACAGTATAGTAGAGCATCATTTAAATGTAAGGGTTATGTTGCTGAAAAAATCCTTGCAATTCAGTTTAGAGCTATCTAAATGAAGAACATAGAGAAAAAAAACAGGGTTGTATCTCACAAATGTCAAAAAATTACCAATACCATGCATGGAACAATCTTCCAGTAGGGTGATTGAGGCTAGGACTTTGGCAGCTTTGAAAAGAGATTAGACAAATATAACAAAAGAACATAAGAATGAGGAACACCTGCAGAAGGCCTACTGGCCCATACAAGGCAAGTCCTTATCAAAATGACCTTTACCCAAAGCTACCCAAGAATTTACTCCCATACCCAATGACACAAATCAAACCAGCCCCTCCACTTATATATTTGTACAATCTCTTTTTAAAGCTGCCCAGAGTCCTAGCCTGGGATCACCCTACTGGGAAATTTTCACGTATCCCAACTCTGTTAAAAAACCAGCACCTACCTATGTCCTTTCTAAATTTAAACCAAATTAATCCATTATTTCTGGTTTTTACCTGGTTTGACACCCTCAGTACTTTATTAATATCTCCTTTGTTTATGCCCCTTTTTCCCCTTTACACTAAAATGATATCTCCCCCCGTTCTGCGTCTCTCCAGAGAGTGGGATTAAAGGCTTTAAGTCTATTTCATATGGGAGATTCCTTACACAGTAAAAACATTTTAGTTTTATTCTTCTCTGTATGTTCTCCAGTGAAGTCTATATCCCATGTAGTAAGGATACAAAACTGAGCAGCATAATCTAAATGAGGCCTTACTAGTGATGTTTTAGAGCTGTAAAATAACTTTTGGACTTCTGTTACTTATATTTCTTGAGATAAATCCAAGTAATCTGTTAGCCTTTTTTGCCCCACACTTAGGCACTGGTGTCTTGGCTTTAGATTTCGCTTTACCATGACTCCCAAGTCTTTTTCACATTCTGTATAATTCAAGCTCTATTTCACCTAGTTTATAGCTTCGAGGGTTATTTTCATTATCAAGGACTAGTACCTTACACTTACCACTTTTGAACTTCATCTGCCATTTTTCAGACAAAGACTTTAAATTTGTCCAAATCTCCTGGAGTTCATTGCTATCCCTCCTCAGAATGAATCATATGGCCTTCTTTGTATCATCAGCAAATTTGCTAATGTCACTTGTAATCCCTTACATAAAGGGTCATTAATGTAAATTATGAACAAGGAGGGCCTAAAACTGATCCTTGTGGAATGCCACTAATGACTAATCCCCATTCAGATTTGACCCTATTAATGGAAAACTCTGCATTCTATTGGTAACCATGTCTCTCTATCCATGCTAGAACTTTACTTCCTATCCATGAGTTCCCACTTTTCTAAGAGTCTCTTGTGAGATTACTCTATCGAAGGCTATACTAAAACCCAAAAATAAACAATATCATATTCTTTATCACTGTCTACTGCCTCAAATGTTTATTGAGGAACGTCAGTAAATTTGTCAGGCAGGAACAACCTCTCGTGAACCCATGCTGAGATTCATTAATAAAATTTATACTCTTCAAGGTGACTTCTAATTTTGGGTCAGCTATAAATGATTCTAATAACTTGCCCACTATAGATGTCAGGCTTATTGGGGCGGTTTAAATTTTAAGGAACGGACTTTTCCCTGATCTGAATATAGGAACCCCTGGAAATAAAAAGGTTTTAAAATACCGACACAATGGAAATATAAACACTTCAGCAGTAAATGTGATCCTTTATTTACGACGTTTTGGGCCCACGCAGTGGGCTTTATCAAGTCACAAAAAAAGATCTACATGAGTATATATACATGAGTAAAATATAGGATGAGAATTTTGGGTCAGGTGGAAAAAGCTGCATGTTGGACAATCTTCGGAGTAGAGTGAAGAAGTCTAAAAACTTGGGTAGCTTTTAAAAGAGATTGGATAAGTATATGAGTGGATCTTCTGCAGTGTCCTCGATTCTTAGTTCTTATGTGGGATAGCGATGAAAAAAGTTTCTTGGCGAGGGGTTAGCTTTTGTTTTTACAAGCTGTTGTTCTGGTTGAAGTTGTTGGATGTACGATAAGTGATGATTCCAGGATTCTTCAGTATTGAGTGTTGTCTTCTCCAGCAATAAGTCTTGCATTTCTGTGGTTGATGAAATGGTTGTGTGAATTTCGGTGTTGAACAAAGGCATTCCCTTTTGGATCATCAGATCTCCCTTCTTACTGGTTTTTCTGAAATACGTGTTTGGAGGTCTCTGGATGTTTCGCCGACGTATAATTTGCTGCAGTCATTACAAGGGATTGTGTATACCCTGCAGAGGATCGAAGCTTGTCCTGTCTGTTACTGGTAATGTCCTTGATGGTGGTGGATGTGGAAGTAGATACTTGGAAGGGAGGTTTTGGAGAAGATGTTGGAAATGTGTTTGGTAATGGAGTTTTTGGGGGAAAGGGGACTATGTATCTCTTCTTGGCAGTGTCTTTCTGGGTGTGTTTAAAGATGTTTATTGCCCATTGTCTGCAGTCACTAATAAAGTGACGAGGATAGTGAAGTTTGAAAATACTTGTACAATAAGAGAGTATTCTTCTTCAAGGAACTCACTGCTGCAGATTCTAAGTGCACGTAGGAAAAAGCCTATAATTACACCACGTTTAGTTTTGGTGTCGTGGTGAGAGTAGAAAGTGCAGAAGATCGTGTTAGTTGGTAGGTTTTCCGATAGATTTTTTAAAAAGAAGTTCAAGGTTAGCTTTGCAGAGAAGAACATCGGGAAAGGAAGAGTGTTGTCGACTTCTTCTAATGTGAACTGGAGAGAAAGGGGTCAACCCGGTTGGGAAATTTGACCCGGTCGAGCCCTTGGACTGTATTTTAATCTAAATTGTTGCTCTCTGATTCGGCCACATGGGATTTATTACTTCACTGAGTCATGTTATGGAAAACTTAGCATTTTTTTTTTTTTTCAACAAGTCGGCCGTCTCCCACTGAGGCGGGGTGACCCAAAAAGAAAGAAAATCCCCAAAAAGGAAATACTTTTTATCATCATTCAACACTTTCACCTCAATCACACATAATCACTGTTTTTGCAGAGGTGTCCAGAATACAACAGTTTAGAAGTATATACGTATAAAAATACACAATATATCCCCCCAAACTGCCAATATCTCAAACCCCCCCTTTAGAGTACAGGCATTGTACTTCCCATTTCCAGGACTCAAGGTCTGGTTATATAAAATAACCAGTTTCCCTGAATCCCTTCACCAATATTACCCTGCTCACACTCCAACAGATCGTCAGGTCCCAAAAATACCATTCGTTTCCATTCACTCCTATCGAACACGCTCATACACATACCCCCATTCCTTCCCTACAGATTTATTACACTCTCCTGTCATTCTACTTTGATCCATTCTCTCTAAATGACCCAAACCCCCTCAACAAACCCTCTTCGCCCTCTGATTAATACTTTTTATTAACTCCACATCTTCTCCTAATTTCCCACTCCTAATTTTCTGCATAATATTTACACCATACATTGCCCTTAGACAGGACATCTCACTGCCCCCAAACACCTCCTCCTCTGCAGCATTTACAACCCCAAGCTTCACACCCATATAAGAGTGTTGGTACTACTATACTTTCTTCATTCCCTTCTTTGCCTCCATAGATAACATTTTTTGCCTCCACATATACCTTAATGCACCCTCACCTTTTTTATTTCATCAATTCTATGATTAACCTCATCCTTCATAAATCCATCTGCTGACACGTCAACTCCCAAATATCTGAAAAAAATTCACTTCTTCTATACTTCTCCCCAATTTCATATCCAATTTTTCTTTATCGAAAACATTTGATACCCCTCATACACCTTACTCTTTTCTATGTTCACTTTCAAAATTTCTACCTTTACACCCCCTCCCCAAATTTTTTCCACTAACCTTTGCAATTTTTCTTTAGAATTTCCCATAAGCACAGTAAACATCAGCAAAAAGTAACTGTGACACTTCCATTTCCCAAAATTTTTCCACTAACCTTTGCAATTTTTCTTTAGAATTTCCCATAAGCACAGTATCTCAGCAAAAAGCAACTGTGTCAATTCCCATTTTGTATTTGATTCCCCATAATTTAATCCCACCCCTCTCCGGAACACCCTAGCTTTTCTTCTTTTACAACCCCATCTATAAATATATTAACCGTAAACGGTCCAAGCAGATCTACGTTCACATGTGTAGTGCTACAAAATAGATCTAAGTTTTTTTTACATATTTTCAATATAAAAAAAAAAAAAAGTAGACCCAAAGTCTTTTTACACATTTTCAAATGTAGAAAAACAAAAGAAGATCTACTTTTTTTACATACAGTGGTCCCTCAATAATCGCCGGCCTGAAAGTCGTCCATTTCGGAAATAGTCCTGTTTTTTCATCTAAATATTGGCTCGCAAATGGTCCTTTAAAACTCGCTAATCGTCCTTCGTCGGGACGGGTACCCACGCTCTGAGCCGCCTGGGCCTCCCTTTCCCCAGCCAGTGTGCCATTATTTCCCAGTGAGTGACGGTCCCCTCACATGCTCCTATGAAATATTTCATAATATTCCATTGA